CATAAAAACACTAATTTATACTGTACTGAATGACATTATACCAATTCTTTAAAATTTAATTTTCTTTTTTCTTTTGGAGACAGTCTCACTCTGTCGCCTAGGCTGGTGTGCAGTGATGCAATCCCAGCTTGCTGCAACTTCCACATCCCTGGTTCAAGCAATTCTGTCAGCCTCCTGAGTTGCTGGAACGACAGGCACATACCACTGCAACAGGCTCATTTTTGTATTTTTAGTAGAGATGGGGTTTCACCATATTGATCAGGCTGGTCTTAAACTCCTGATCTCCAGTGATCCACCAAAGAGCTGGGATTACAGGCATGAGTCACTATGCCTGGCCTATTTTTTCTTTCTTTTTCTTTTTTTTAAACAGTTCTCCCCCTTGCCTTGGCTCAGTGCAGTGGTGAAATCACAGCTCACTGCAGCTCCGACTCCCTGGGCTCAAGAGATACTCCCAACTCAGCCTCCAGAGTAGCTGGGACTACAGGCACACAACACCATGCCCAGCTAAAATTTTTTTTTTTGACAACATATAGTTCTTGTCTCTCAGGATGGAGTGCAATGGCACAATCTAATTTTTGTGTTTTTAGTACAGATGGGGTTTCACCATTGATCAGGCTGGTCTTGAACTCCTGACCTCAGGTGATCTGCCTGTCTCGGCCTCCCAAAGTGTTGGGATTACAGGTATGAGCCACTGCGCCCAGCCACACTACACCAATTTGAGAGGTAAAGTATGAGTGAATGGTCTCAATGATGATCAAGAAAAAGCAATGCCTTTGTGAATGTCTAGGGTCCTGTGGCTCGAAGAAAGGATCAGCCATATCCTATCTACCCACAAGACATGTATATTCCATAGGATCTTCAGTCTCCTGTTTCACTCTTAGAAGTGCCTCAGACAGGCCAGGAATGGGGGCTCACGCCTGTAATCCAAGCACTTTGGAGACCAAGGTGGGCGGATCACCCGAGGTCGTGAGTTCAAGACCAGCATGACCAACATGGTGAAACCCCGTGTTTAAAAAAAAAAAAAAAAAAAAGAAGAAGTGCCTCGGACATAAAATGATGTGTATTTTTTTTAGGTGAAATTCACATTTTTAAGTGAAATGAAATTAACCATGTTAAATTCAACCGTTTGGTGGCATTTAGTCTTTACAATGTTACCTAGTTCCAAAACGTCTTCCTCATTCTTTGTGTTTTAAGCCTCTTTCCTAATGTTTAAGTGACAGACTGGCAGTGAACTTCTCATCCATCAGTAGTCTCGAGCAGACCCTGACGAGTTAGTGTTAGGATCAAAGCTTCCCAGAGTTGGTGGTGCTTTTTAATAGGGCCAAATAAATGTGAGTAAGGGAGTGAGACTAAGTGGAGCTTTGAATAACAGCATTTCGCCCAGCGCAGAGCTGCCCCACACTACTCTGCCCAGTTTCTAGGTCAAGAAACGTAACTTTCCCAACATTTTAATATGCTAAGGTGTACCATGAATGAGAGAGGGGAGGGGGAGGAGGTGATATAAGTCAAACAGAGCCCATTAAGAAGCCCTGGGCCTTGCCCTCAGGGTGGTGAGGCTCTGGGCCTCACATTTTGAAAGATCTTTGGAGACTCTGTCTCATACCTGGGTACCCTGGGCAAATAACTTGGATAAGACCACTCTTGTCTACTGTTGGAGGATGAAGTGGACAAAATCTTCCTAGAAATGCTTCCCACTTAATCCCCTTATCTCCTCCTATGGAGATTTCTATTGTTTGTAAAGAATGTGCCACCCACACAACTGTATCCATGTCACCTAACTAGGAAGATAACCCAACTAGACAGTTCGGGCAAGTAAGACAAAAACCAGCTGAAAGAGTGCTTCACTTAGACAAGATGGAATTTAGATGGTGCCCAAAGAGACCTAGCAACCATCCAACTAGAAAGGGGCCAAAAACAGGAGTGCTCTCTGTGGAGCCAGGGTTCTGTCCATATGGTTCTACAATGCCTAGTCATACAAAACACTCACTGCACTTAGAGTAACTGATGCAAGGTGAGGTGAGGCACAGGCATGGAAGGACTTGACTTATCCCTATTTCTTGGATATCTATCTTTCCTCCCTTTCTAACTTTATTTGGCTCTCTTGACAAAAGCCAAAAAACATGGTATAGAAGTTGTGATCATAATTACATGATTTTCATGGCAAACATATTCTGCAATTAAAAACACACACCCCCTGTCACAGAAATATCCAGACCAAGATACCTAAATAATGAGGAAGATAAAACTAAGGCCATTGGGGAATGCTGGGTCCGGGGCTGATCTCAGATAACTGGTTAGGCCAAGGCACTTGATGACAGAAGCTAGGTCATCTCATCTCTTGTTCTGAATTATTTAGTAATATATTTCTTTTAAAACCACTTAACAGGGCTGGGCACGGTGGCTCACACCTGTAATCCCAGCACTTTGGGAGGCCGAGGCGGGCAGATCACAAGGTCAAAAGATCAAGACCATCCTGACCAACATGGTGAAACACTGTCTCTACTAAAAATACATATATAAATTAGCTGGGTATGGTGGCACCCACCTGTAGTTCTAGCTACACGGGAGGCTGAGGCAGGAGAATCGCTTGTACCTGGGAGGCAAAGGTTGCAGTAAGCTGAGACGGTGCCACTGCACTCCAGCCTGGGCAACAAGAGCTAAACTCCATGTCAAAAAAAAAAACAAAACACTTTAGAGGTAAACTTTTTTTTTTTGAGACAGAGTCTGTCACCCAACCTGGAGTGCAGTGGCACCATCTTGACTCACTGCAACCTCTGCCTCCTGGGCTCAGGAGATCTTCCCACCTCAGCCTCCTGAGTAGCTGAGATCACAGGCGTGCACCACCATACCCAGCTAATTTTTGTATTTTTGGTGGAGTCATGGTTTTGCCATATTGTCGAGGCTGGTTTTGAACTCCTGAGCTCAAGAGATCTGCCTGTCTCAGCCTCCAAAAGTGCTGGAATTATGGGCATGAGCCTTCACAGCCACCCTAGAGGTGAACATTTTAATACTGGTTTTGGTTTTCCCACCCCTTAAAACCTAATATGAAGCTTAGGGTTTGAACTAGGATGAGAGACTAGAGATGGGGTAGACCACAGGATGAGGGAGCATGCAACTGCTTTGTAGATGAGAAAATTTATTCAACGCACCAGAAACACAGGAATAACTGCGGGACCCGGTGCCCCTTTTTGTGTGTGTGTGACTGAGTTTTGCTCTGGTGCTAGGCTAGAGCGCAGTGGTGCGATCTTGGCTCACTCTGCCTCCTAGGTTCAAGCAGTTCTTGTGCCTCAGCCTCCCAAATAGCTGGGATTACAGGCACAAGCCACCACCCCAGCTAATTTTTTTTGTATTTTTAGTAGAGATAGGGTTTCTCCATGTTGGCCAGGATGGTCTCAATCTCCTCACCTCATGATCTGCCTGCCTTGGCCTCCCAAAGTGCTGGGATTACTGGCATGAGCCACTGAGCCCAGCCAGACCCAGTGCCTTTTAATGGACCTGGCCATCCCCACAGTACCCAACCATAAATATGGGCTTGTAACAGAGTTCAGCCTCAGAATATATTTGCAGTCTCCAGCATTTATCTAGACTTCCTCCAGTTTGCTGTTCTGATCTGATGTTCTTTCTTACCTTATCTGGCTGTCAGATCCATTGGGATGTCTAGGAAAAAATAGGCCACCACCTTCCCCAGAATAAAAGGTCCTGTCCTCCAGCCTCCTCCCACTATGTACAGACAGAGAAAGTAGGAACAGGCTCGGCATGGTGGTTCCCGCCTATAATCCCACCTACTCAGGTGGGTGAGGCACAAGAATCTCCTGAGTTCACGAGAATCTCTTGAACCTCCACGAGGTGGAGGTTGCAGTGAGCCCAGATAGCACCACTGTACTCCAGCCCAGGTGACAGAGCATGACTCTCAAAAATAAAAAAATAAAAAGGAACAGGCCCTGGTCCAAAATCCCAGATAAGGTAGATATCACTATTTTTTTGAAACATCAAGTATGAGTTAGCCTAGATTCATAGATCTAAATCTAAAAATTTATTGAACACCTGTACAAGTTCATCAACAATACTCATATTGCCCTGATTGATGAGGCACCTCAAAGAAAGGCAGGACTGGATTCAACATGGAAAGACAGTATCCCAAGAAGCCTGCCATGAGAGTGATGGTTCCATCTGTGCTACAAGAGAAAGGCCACTGGGGGTGAGATGCAAGAGCTTTGTGCTGAGGGCGGCCACAAAACAGAGCAGATCCAGAATCCAGGCAACCTTCACTTCCAGCCTGAAGACTTTCCTAGGAACTATGGTAGTAAATAATGGAAAGGCCCTGGGGTTTGGAATCAAACAACTCTGGTTTGAGCATGTACCCCGCCCACAACCCTTCTGCCATTTTACTTAATCTTGCTGAACCTGTTTTCCTTTAGCAAAAAAAAAAAAAAAAATACAAGCTGACATAGTGGCTGAACTAATTATGTGAAATATGTGAAATGTGTTTTGCAGCAGGTGGTTTTTAAACTATTGACCAGAAAGCACATACACTGTAAAAAATAATAATAAATAAAATTTGTTTTTACATTGTAAGTCAGTATACACATATAACTATCTACAATTGAAACTGGGGTTTCATAAAAACTATACTTACTACTTGGGAGTCACTTGGAATATTCTATTGTATTTAATTTTTTATATGCTGATTGCAAGTCACTACATTGTTTTCACTCCTAATGGGTAGTATTTTAAAAATACTCTTCGAAACCATGCAGTTATCAGTTATTACGAAGATTAGTAAGATTCTCAGGAATGATCTGATGGCTAGGAATCTTCACTGCCAGGGAAACAAAGAAAAAGGGTCCAGGTTATTAGGTCTAGCCCTAGGTAGCCCTGTTGCCAAGGGAACAGATCGGCCACGTCAGGGTTGGTTTACCCATGGGCTGCAGCCCTGTGGAGAAAAGGAGTGGCCCGTGGGCCTGTCACTCACATTCAGAGGTGGTAAGCCCGCCTCCAAGTCCGGAAGACCCGGAGGAAGACAGAGATTGGAGGTTCAGGCAGTGACGTAACTTTCTGCCTTAGGTGGCCTTCCGCTTTGGGGGCTGTTGCGACGGGGGTTCAGGGAATATTTACTGGGCTCCCCGCTCCCTCTGCTTTTGGAAGTGCCATGAGGTCAGTGAGCTACGTGCAGCGCGTGGCACTGGAGTTCAGCGGGAGCCTTTTCCCTCACGCAATCTGCCTCGGAGACGTTGATAACGATACGGTAAGTGCATGCGCACTGCAAGGGACATCCTGGATCTGTGCAGGGACCGGGCAAGGGAAGTGGAAGAGGCCGCCCGAGCGTGCCACGTGAACTTGAGCATGCGCGCTGCGGCTAGTATGGAGCTCTAAAGAGAAAAACTTTATTGATAGCTTCAGTGTCCTTGGTTGGTTTTGTTCCCTGGTTTTGTTTTGTTTTGTTGTTTTGTTTTTTTGAGACAAGAGTCTTGCTCTGTCTCCAAGACTGGAGTGCAGTGGCGCTATCTTGGCTCACTGCCACCACCACCTCCCGGGTTCAAACGATTCTCCTGCCTCAGCCTCCTGAGTAGCTGGGATTACAGACGCCCGCCACCACGCCCGGCTAAGTTTTGTGCTTTCAGTAGAGACGGGGGTTTCGCCATGTTGATCGGGCTGGTCTCGAACTCCTGACCTCAGGTGGTCCACCGGCCTCGGCCTCCCAAACTGCTGGGATCACAGGCGTGAGTAGTTTTTGAGTGGGATACATAGTTTGATCCCTCGGCCTGATTCAGTAACGTGTTCACTGGAGGAGACTGATAAACTGGTGGCCAAGTTTTCTGGATCACTGCTTCTCAGTTAAGCGTCTTTTAGTGGCTTCAATCACTTACCTTGGCCGGGCGTGGTGGCTCACGCCTGTAATTCCACCACTTTGAGAAGCCAAGGAGGGCAGATCACCTGAGACTAGGAGTTCGAGACCAGCTTGGCCAACATGGTGAAACCCCCGTCTCTACTAAAAATACAAAATTAGCCGGGTGTGATGGTACGCGCCTGAAATCCCTGCTACTTGGGAGCTCAGGCAGGGGAATCGCTTGAACCCAGGAGGCGGAGTTTGCAGTGAGCCGAGATCACACCCACTGCACTCCAGCCTGGGCGACAGAAACAAACCGTCTGAAAACAAACAAACAAACAAAAAAAACCACTTACCTTTCAAAGCCGTAAAGTGGAAATAATAATGCCGTTCTGCCTGTGGCTCCACCCCTCCAAAGACTTCTCTGAGCCTCCTCCCAGCCTCACAGAATTAAAGACTCTATCCGTGCTTCACTTAGGCACTAAACTCCTGTCTGCTGCTGTTACACTTGGAGCACTCTGCTGGGATAGATTGGGGTATTTCCCTGCCTCGCTCTACGGCGGGAGCAGCAATCACTCGCACAACCCAGTGTTAATAAGGTCCAGTTTTTTCAGTGCCCGCCCCATAGTAGATGCAGGTATCTGGTTACTTGTGCTGCATCTTTGTTGAATTACGGAAGCAATCTCCATCTACCTCCTCTCCTCAGCAGTCGTTCTTCTCTCTTTTTTTTTGAGACGGAGTCTTGCTCTGTCACCCAGGCTGTTGCAGTGAGTTGATCTCAGCTCACTGGGGCAACCTCCGCCTCCCGGGCTCAAGCAATTTTCCTGCCTCAACTCTCCAGCAGCTGGGATTACAGGCGCCTGCCACCATGCCTGGCTAATTTTTGCGTTTTTAGTAAAGATAGGGTTTCACCATGTTGGCCAGGCTGGTCTCAAACTCCTGACCTCATGTTCTGCCCACCTGGACCTCCCAAAAGTGTTGGGACTACAGGCGTGAGCCACTGGGCCATGCCCTTCTCATTTTTTAAATCAGTTACCACAGGTCAAGCAGGTAGAACAGTGTCTGTCACGAAGTTTATTGCTCACTTCAATGTTAGCGTTATTGTTGTTGTTAGTGTTTTATTCTGTTTTTCTGCAAATATTTATTGAACTGCTCATTACGCACCGATCTGGGAATTCATAAATGGACGAGAGAGTTCCAGTCCTCAGGTGGCTCATGATCAAGTTGAGTGATAGTCACAGGATAATAAAATGTAATGTAATGAGATACATTGACTAAAATATGTAGAGGATTCTCCAGGGGAGCATTAAAGGGAATAGTGTCTGATGCTTTTTTTTTTTTTTGCAGACTTTTTCTATTATTTAGTATCTATTTCATATTTCTGATGCAAAGCACTGTACTGCCCTCTTCTGCCCTCTGCCCTCTCTTCCTACTCTGCCTCCCTGCTTCACACTTCCTTAACTGTCCTGTGCTCCCTGCCCCCACAAGACAAAGGCTAAAATATCTTTATTTCCCACCACCTCCTAATGCTGTGATGGAGAAGGTATTTGATGAGGTCTCTTTTGGCTCTAGCCCCTCTGGGGAGGAAAGAGTTATTCTCATAAATTTGTATTATGTTTTTCTGGGCTTTCATGTTTCTTCATGAACTGCCAAGCAGTTTAATTTTATGAGAAAATCAGAGAAGGCATTTTTTAAAAATGATGATGATTTTTTCTTTTTCTTTTTGAGACGGAGTTTCACTCTTGTTACCCAGGCTGGAGTGCAATGGCACGGTCTGGGCTCACCGCAACCTATTCCTCCTGGGTTCAGGCAATTCTCCTGTCTCAGCCTCCTGAGTAGCTGGGATTACAGGCACGCACCACCATGCCCAGCTAATTTTTTGTATCTTTAGTAGAGACGAGGTTTCACCATTTTTACCAGGATGGTCTTGATCTCTTGACCTTGTGATCCACCTGCCTCGGCCTCCCAAAGTGCTAGGATTACAGGCTTGAGCCACCGCGCCCAGCCCCAATTATTATTTTTTTTATGACAGAGTTTCACTCTTGCTGCCCAGGCTGGAGTGCAATGGTATGATCTTGACTCACTGCAACCTCCGCCTCCCAAGTTCAAACATTCTTTTGCCTCAGCCTCCCAAGTAGCTGGGATTACAGGCATGCACCACCATGCCTGGCTTATTTTGTATTTTTAGTAGAGATGGGGTTTCTCCATGTTGGTCAGGCTGGTCTTGAACTCCCAACCTCAGGTGATCCACCTGCCTTGGCCTCCCAGAGTGCTGGGATTACAGGCATGAGCCACCGATCCTGGCCAATTTTTTGTTTTTTATAAACAGGGTCTCACTCTGTTGCCCAGGCTGGAATGCAGTGGTACAATCATAGCTCACTGCAGCCTTGAACTCCTGGGCTCAACTGATCTCCTGCCTCAGCCTCCTGTGTAGCTGGGACTACAGGTGCATGCCACCATGTCTGGCTGATTTTTTTAAATGTTTTATAGAGATGAGGTCTCACTGTGTTAAACAGGCTGATCTCAAACCTCTGGCTTCAAGCAGTCCACTGGCCTTGTGTCCCAAAGTGCTGGGAATACAGGTGTAAACAACCTCACCTGGCCACATTTTAAATAGTAAATTAACAAAGTGGGGGCCGGGCATGATGGCTCACGCCTGTAATCACAGCACTTTGGGAGGATGAGGCGGGTGGATCATGAGGTCAAGAGATCAAGACCATCCTGGTCAACATGGTGAAACCCCATCTCTACTGAAAATACAAAAAATTAGCTGGGCATGGAGGCGCGTGCCTGTAATCCCAGCTGCTCAGGAGGCTGAGGCAGGAGAATTGCCTGAACCCAGGAGGCGGAGGTTGCGGTAAGCCGAGATCACACCATTGCACTCCAGCCTAGGTAACAAGAGTGAAACTCCGTCCCAAAAAAAAAAAGAAAGTGGCTTCAGATATATATTATTTTTCATGTTATCTGATTGCCTTCTTTGTTTAAAAGCATTCCCTTTTTTACATAGCGATATAGCACCAGCTTTTTTGAAATTGTGCTTTTTTAAATGAGTTACACTATTACACGCTCACTTCTACAATATTAGATATGCTACCATCTTTTCCACATGAGTTGTAAGCTCCATTATGGTAAACTCCATAAGGATAGGAATGTTTTAATCTGTTTTTTCCACTGCTATATTCTCAACACTTAGAACAATGTAGGTACCGGCCAGGCGTGGTGGCTTACACTTGTAATCCCAGCACTTTGGGAGGCCAAGGTGGGTGGATCACCTGAGGTCAGGAGTTCGAGACTAGCCTGGCCAACATGGCGAAACCCCGTCTCTATTAAAAATACAAAAGTAGCCTTGTGTTATAGTGCACACCTGTAATCCCAGCTACTACTCAGGAGGCTGAGGCAGGAGAATCGCTTGATCCCAGGAAGTGGAGGTTGCAGTGAGCCGAGATCACGCCACTGCACTCCAGCCTGGGCAACAGAGCGAGACTCCATCTCAAAAAAAAAAATACATATGACTGGGCGTGTGGCTCATGCCTGTAATCCCAGCACTTTTGGACACCAAGGTGTATGGATCATTGGTGGTCAAAAGTTCAAGACCAGCCTGGCCAACATGGTGAAACCATCTCTGCTAAAAATATGAAAAAATTAGCTGAGCATAGTGGCACACACTTGTAATCCCAGCTACTAGGGAGGCCAAGGCAGAAGAATTGCTTGAACCTGAGAAATGGAGATTGCAGTGAGATGGAGCCATGGCACTACAGCTTGGGCAACAGAGTGAGACCCTGTCTCAAAAAAAAAAAAAACACACACAAAACATTTATCCAAATGAATGCCATAGTATATAGTAGGCCCACAGACAATGTTGGTTTGTTTAAGTTTTTTGTAGAGATGGGGTCTTGCCATGTTACCCAGATTGGTCTTGAATGCATGACCTCAAAGTAAATCTCTGGCCTCAGCCTCCCATATCCTCAGCTGGGATTACAGGCATGAGCCACTATGCTGGGCCCCTGAATATTTATTTAATGAACACATAACAAAAAAAATTTTTTAAGAAACAAAAGTCAGAATGAAAGAGAATGCCCAGCAAGCCCCTGAGTTTTCAGGTAAAGTTGGGGGTACAAAGATAAATGCCACCGACTCCCGAGTAGCTGGGATTACAGGCGTGCACCACAACACCCAGCTAATTTTTGTGTTTTTAGTAGAGATGGGGTTTCACCATGTTGGCCAGGCTGGTCTTGAACCTCTGACCTCGTGATTTGCCTGCCTCAGCCTCCCAAAGTGCTGGGATTACAGGCGTGAGACACCATGCCCAGCCGGAAATCAAAGATTCAAATAAATTCCAGTTTGTTTCTAACTTATCCTTACTGTTTACCTGTTACCTCTGTTGCCTTTAGAACTAAATTTTTTTTGTTTTTTGAGACGGAGTTCCACTCTTACTACCCAGGCTGGAGTGCAATGGTGCAATCTCGTCTCACCACAACCTCCACCTCCTGGGTTCTAGCGATTCTTCTGCCTCAGCCTCTGGAGCAGCTGGGATTACAGGCATGCACCAGCACACCCAGCTGATTTCGTTTTGTTTGAATAGGAGTCTCACTCTGTCACCAGGCTAGAGTGCGGTGGTGCGATCTTGGCTCACTGCAACCTCCGCCTCCCGGGTTCAAGTGATTCCCCTGCCTCAGCCTCCCAAGTAGCTGGGACTACAGGTGTGCACCACCACACCCAGATAATTTTTGTATTTTTAGTAGAGATAGGGTTTCACCATGTTGGTCAGGCTGGTGTCGATCTCCTGACCTCGTGATCTGCCTGCCTTGGCCTCCCAAAGTGCTGGGATTACAGGCATGAGCCAGCATGGCCGGCCTAATTTTGTATTTTTAATAGAGACAGTTTTGCCGTGGTGGCCCCGCTAGTCTTGAGCTCCCGACCTCGGGTGATGCGTCCGGCCATAACTAAATTTCTTGAGAGTATAATATTAGTTCATTGTATTCTGGGGACAGGAAGGGGATGTTGGCTGTGCCTCCAAGAGGAGATCATAAAGCAGTTTGCAGAAGTGGGGTTTGAAGCCATTTCGTTAACAACGTGAGCCCTGGAAAGGGCAGCTACCCAGATATAAGTGGTGGAGCTCCATACAAGGACCTCCCTTCCCTAGAGCTTAGCTACCACTTGAGGGCACTGGAAGCCCAGAATGGGGAGCAGCCCCCTCAGGCCCCACCATCCTGTGTGGTTCCCACATATGCCTCAAGATCCAAACACCTTGCTAGAGGATGGAGGGCCTCAAGAGCTCACATTGTCTTTTTATTTGGCCCCTGATTAAATATGAGGTCTGAAGTTAGATTCTCTAAAACTCGATCATCTTGGGCTGTTTTCAAAGCATGTTCCTTTTTTTTTCTTTGAGATGGAGTCTTGCTCTGTCGCCTAGGCTGGGCTTCAGTGGCGGGATCTCAGCTCACTGCAACCTTTGCCTCCTGGTTTCAAGCGATTCTCCTGCCTCAGCCTCCCGAGTAGCTAGGATTACAGATGCCTGCCCCTATACCTGGCTAAATTTTTTGTAATTTTTAGTAGAGACGGGGTTTCACCATCTTGGGCAGGCTGGTCTTGAACCTGACCTCATGATCCACCTGCATTGGCCTCCCAAAGTGGTAGGAAAACCAACCAACATGTCCCATATGTAATGGGCAGATTGGAAGAGCTGAAGTCGGGCACATGGAGCCTAGAGCTGTTCAGGTGGCATACTTTTCTGGGATAGGCCACAGATTGTGTGTAGCCCCAGTCCCTGTAACCTCTCCTACCCCTAACATACATACCCCTAAATGGAAATAAAGAACTGGGAAACTATGGCTGCGTTGGCCCCAAAAGATTGTTTTGTGTTGTTTTTTGAGACAGGATCTTGTTCTGTTGCCCAGGCTGAAATGCAGTGGCACGATCATAGCTCACTGCAGCTTCATGCTCCTGGGATCAAGTGATCCTCCTTCCTCAGCCTCCTGAGTAGCTGGGACTACAGGTGTGCATCACTACACCTGGCTAATTTGTTTTTTCTTTTTTTTTTTTTTGAGACAGGGTCTCACTCTGTCACCGAGGTTGGAGTGCAGTGGTGCTATCCTGACTCACTCACTGCAACCTCCACCTCCCAGGCTCAAGCAGTTCTCCTGCCTTGCCCCCCGAGGGGCTGGGACCACAGGCGTGTGCCACCATGCTTGGGTAATTTTTATATTTTTTGTAGAGACAAGGTTTCACCACGTTGGCCAGGCTGGTCTTGAATTCCTGAGTTCCAGCAATCTACCCACCCCACCTCCCAAAGAGCTGAGATTACAGGCGTGAGTCACTACACCTGGCCTCACGGCAAATTTTTTAAGATTTTGTAGAAATGGAGTCTTGCCATGTTACCCAGGCTAGTCTCTAACTCTTTGCCTCAAGTGACCCACCCACCTCCACTGCCCAAATTAGTGGGATTACAAGTGTCAGTCCTTGTATCTGGCCAGACGTTTAATAAAGTTGATGAAGATACAAGTTGAGGTCTTGTGATTTCCCTTGGTTAGGCTAAGTAGAGAAGAACTGAAAGTGATTCAACAGAGTCCCATCCTAATGCTTTCTTCTCTCTCCATTTGAAGTTAAATGAGCTGGTGGTGGGAGACACCAGCGGGAAGGTGTCTGTGTATAAAAATGATGACAGTCGGCCATGGCTCACCTGTTCCTGCCAGGGAATGGTCAGTATTCACTTCCCTGGGCCTGGAGGGGGGAAGGGATCCCTTCTGTCCAGGGAACACCCACACAGGTGCTCACCCATGTGTCCTGACTCCCCAGCTACTGGGCCCAGCTACTGCCTTGCAGCCAATTTGATTCAGGGCAGCCCCCAGACGTGCTCCCATCTGTTCTCACACACATATACATGGACCGGGGTGTTTTTGTGTAGCGGAGTGCTCCTTGACGTTTTATGGAAGCTGCCTAAGATTGTCTAATCTTAAAGTATAGTCAAAATTGGGGGCAATAATTTGAATAAGTCTAGAAATATGATAGTCTAGTTCTATTAAATATGGAGTTTTTGTTTTAAGTCCAGATTGTCTTAACTACCTTAGGTCTTCATGTTGCTATCTGGGTAAACCAAGCCTATAGCACAGGAACTCAGTTAATAAAGACTATCACCCTAAGTTATATGGCACAGATTTTCAGTGGAGGATGGTGATGAGAAAACCCGCCCACTCCTTCTTGCTCCACAGAGATCAGGGAGGACTGGTCTCCCTTGGCGTCTCCCTGAGCCTGCCTTTCTCTCTTGCAGCTGACTTGTGTTGGGGTTGGAGACATTTGTAATAAAGGAAAGGTAAGAACTAAAGGGGACCTTGGGACTTCGGCAGGACTCCAGAGGCTCACCTTGATTCTTAGCTCACAGTGGAAATCAGTTGCAGGTTAAAGGCTTCAGCTCTGACCCCTGTGATCTGATGATCAGGCATGTTTCCAAAACTCCCTCCCCAGTCTGTTTCTATTATACGTCTGTTTGTCCTAGAACCTGTTGGTGGCAGTGAGTGCTGAAGGCTGGTTTCATTTGTTTGACCTGACACCTGCCAAGGTGTTGGATGCTTCTGGGCACCACGAGACACCAATGGGAGAGGAGCAGCGTCCAGTCTTCAAGCAGCACATCCCTGCCAACACCAAGGTCATGCTGATCAGCGACATCGGTGGGCATGGCTACCTCTGCAGGCTGCCAAGAGTAGGAGTCAGTGGATACTAGAGCAGATCCCAAGGGATTGGGGCGAGAGGGAGAGTCCACATTCATTTATGCATTTGTTTTGTACTGAGCTCCCGTCATAAGCCAGGCATCACTCATGGCACTGGGATTGCCATAGTGAATAAATAGACAAAAATCGCTGCACTCCTGAACCTTATTATGAAGAGACAGAAAAGAAACAATATAGGCCAGGTGTGCTCACTCTTGCCTGTAATACCAACACTTTGGGAGGCTGAGGTGGGAGGATCACTTGAGGCCAGGAGTTTGAGACTGTAGTGAGCTATGATCTCACCACTGCACTTTAGTGTGGGACCCTGTCTCTATTAGAAAAAGGAAGGAATAGAAAAAAAACACTATAAGTTTTGTAAAGTAATTAAGTATTATATTGGAAGGTAATAAGTGTGTGGCTGGATGCGGTGGCTCACACCTGTAATCCCAGCACTTTGGAAGGTTGAGGCAGGCAGATCACTTGAGTTCAGGAGTTTGAGACCAGCCTGGCCAACACGGTGAAACCCTGTCTCTACTAAAGATACAAAAACTAGCCAGGAATGGTGGCGGGCGCCTGTTATCCCAGCTACTCAGGAGGCTGAGGTAGGAGAATGAACCCGGGAGACAGAGGTTGCAGTCAGCCAGTATCATGCCACTGCACTCTAGCCTAGGCAACAGAGACTCCTCAAAAAAAAAAAAAGGTAGTAAGTGTAGCCAGGCGCCATGGTTCACACCTGTAATCCCAGCTTTGGTAGGCTGAGGCAGACAGATCACTTGAGGTCAAGAGTTCAAGACCAGCCTGGCCAACATGGTGAAACCCTGTCTCCACTAAAAATACAAAAATTAGCTGAGCATGGTGGCACATGCCTGTAATCCCACCTACTCGAAAGCCTGAGAGGCAGGAGAATCGCTTGAACCCGAGAGGTAGAGGTTGCAGTGAGCTGAGATCGTGCCACTGCACTCCAGCCTGGTGACAGAGACTCCATCTCAAAGGAAAAAAAAAGGTAGTAAGTACAATGGAGAAAATAAATCACAGAAAGAGCTAGAGTGTCGAAGTAGAAGTAGCAATTTTATTTGTTTTATAATGGAGTCTCGACCTGTCGCCTAGGCTGAGAGTGCGGTGGTGTGATCTCAGCTGACTACTACCTCCACCTCCTGGGTTCAAGCGATTTTCCTGCCTCAGTCTCCCCAGAAGCTGGGACTACCATGCCCGGCTAATTTTTTTGTATCTTTAGTGGAGACTGGGTTTCACCATGTTGGCCAGGCTGGTCTTGAACTTGACCTCGTGATCCGCCTGCCTCAGCCTACCAAAGTGCTCGAATTACAGGTGTGAGCCACTGCACCTGGCCAAGGTAGGAATTTTAAATGGAGTTGGTAGGGAAGTCCTCACTGAGAAGGTAACATTTGGTTAAAAAAAAAACGAAGGTGGTAAGCAAGGGAGCCACACAGATAGGGGCTTGCAGGTGGTGGGAGATACATGGGCTGAATTGGGACACTTGAGTTGTGTGTTTGGGAAGTAGTATAAAGGCAGAGGGGGGATAGGAGTTGTAGAACAGATGGACCAAATGGACGAGCAGGATGCTGCAAACGCAGGCAGGGGCGGGGCAGACTGAGTGTGAAGTGAGTAGACCAGCAGATGGGGCATGAATCTGCACGGCTAGGGAGTGCCACTGTTAGCAGAGGAGCAGAAGAGCAGAGGCTCTTCATGAGACTGTAAACCCCATCTTGTCTTTCATGCTCACAGATGGAGATGGGTGTTGTGAGCTGGTGGTGGGCTACACAGACCGTGTGGTGCGAGCTTTCCGCTGGGAGGAGCTAGGTGAGGGTCCTGAACATCTGACAGGGCAGCTGGTGTCCCTGAAGAAATGGATGCTAGAGGGTCAGGTAAGAAGCTGAGTCTGGCCACCAAGGCCCCAGGGAGCTGGGAGGAAGGCCTCCTGGAGGAGGCAGTGGGAGAACAGTCATGGGACAGGGCCAGGGTGGGGAGAAGTGAAAAGTCACCTTGTCAAGAGAGATCCAAAGACCATTTCAAATCAAGGGCTTAGGGAGATTGCTAGTGACAGGCAAAGAGAAAGGCATGTGGGGCTAAGAATGAGGAGTATGGAGTGGGCCACATCAGGACCTAGACCACAGCTGAGACATGAACAGGGGAAAGCATGTGGTCTGTGTGGAGAGGGCGGTGCCGAGCAGGAGCCCTGGAAACTCAAAATCCTTCCTCCTGCTGTCACGCTTGAAGCCCTCAGGGCTGTTCCCAGGACCCCTGCCCTCCCCCACCCCCACCGCCCTGTTCTCTGCAAGGTCTCACTTCTCTCTCCTTCTCCCTTTAATCCCATTCCCTGGTGCAGGTGGACAGCCTCTCGGTGACTCTGGGGCCACTGGGTGTTCCTGAACTCATGGTGTCTCAGCCAGGCTGTGCTTATGCAATTCTGCTCTGTACCTGGAAAAAGGACACTGGGTCCCCTCCTGCCTCTGAAGGGGCCACAGATGGCAGTAGGTAAGGGGGTACAGGCCTGTGGATGGTGTGGGGTACATGGAAGCAGGATGGACTCCCAGATGGCACATGGTAGTAAAATGGGTCTGCAGTTGGCAGAGCTGCCTTATCTGGGTCCCAGCCCAAGCACCTTTGCACTACTGGGGAGGATTATTTTAGGACCAAGGGAATCCTGAGCTCTAACTTGTGGCACCTGAAAGAGGTTCTGAGATTCCAACCTGGCATCCCCATCCCTGTCTTTTCTGTTTGCCACATGGGCCAGATGGGGTCAGTGGTAGGTTTTGAAGCTGACTCAAATCCCAGAAGCTCTTGCAGGGATAAGGGCTGGAGAGCTCAGCTCACTTGGTCTCCTGCTTGGTCCTTCCACCCTCCTGCTCGTAGGGAGACCCCAGCTGCCCGAGATGTGGTGCTGCACCAGACATCTGGCCGTATCCACAATAAGAACGTCTCCACTCACCTAATCGGCAACATCAAACAAGGTGAAAATGGGGGGCTATGGGTAAGAGGGGAGCTGGGGGCAGCCGTCAGTTCTAGATGAATGGAGATCCATAGCCTCCCCTCATTTCAAGCCCCGTCCTTCCCCTGTTGCTGTGGGCCACCCCCTCCCTGCAGGCTCTGACCTTGTGCCCTGCCCTTTACATTTTCTTCCTCTGGTCCTTCTGTTCTACCCACAGGCCACAGCACTGAGAGTGGTGGCTCTGGCCTCTTTGCCCTGTGCACTCTGGATGGTGAGCAGTGCCGGGATGGGGCGGGGGGCTGTGTGCCTGTGGGGTCTGCTTGGGGCCTGTCCCACCCACACTCTGCCTCTCCCCACAGGGACGCTGAAGCTCATGGAGGAAGCAGACAAGCTGCTATGGTCAGTGCAGGTCGATCACCAGCTCTTCGCCCTGGAGAAATTGGATGTCACCGTGAGTGGAAAGCCTGGCAGAGCAGAGCATTCTTGAGTTTTCCACATAGAGAGAGGAGATTTGGAATAATCAGTCTAGTCTCACATCCTGGGGAACTCTCAGCCTTTATCTTTAGTCTCCCTCTCTCTCTCTCTGTCTCCTTTTTTTTTTTTGATAGGAGGTTTCCCTCTGCCACCTAGGCCGGAGTGCAGTGGCACGATCTTGGCTCACTGCAACCTTCGTCTCCCAGACTCAAGCCATCCTGCCACCTCAGCCTCCCAAGAAGTTGGGACTACAGGCATGCACCACCACACTTAGCTAATTTTCCTAAATTTTTTGTAAAGATGAGCTCTCACCATATACGGTTTTGAATTCTTGGGCTCAAGTGATCCTTTGGTCTTGGCCTCCCAAAGTGTTGGGATTACAGGCATGAGCGACTGTGCTTGGCCTTAAGTCTCTTTAGATAGGTCTAAATCCATCTAAAGTGAGTTTGTTTCCTCTTACTCTACCGTATTTAATGCTATACTGTGCTGCTAGAAGTCTTGTCATTGCCATAACTTCAGCAGAAGTAATAGCCCCAAAGGAAAGTTCCTATAAGAGCCTGGAAGTAAGTTAGTCATCACAACTCCAGAGGCATATTTTGTAGGTTCTTCTTTCCCGTATATGAATCTCTGTTTAATAGCACTGCAGCCCCTGAATCAGCAGGTAAGGGCTGCACTTTATATTGCCATCAGGCATGCTTGTTGGTTTGGGAGGAGAGGCAGACCAGGGTTCGAATCCTGATTCTGCTGCCTCCTAGCCGAGTGGCCTTTGGCGAATGACTATATTTCTATAAGCTGAGATTTCCTTGATGTAACATTGCACACTTCCTAGCATGGCTTGAGCATCACGTGAGCTCATTTGACAGCCCCTTTTACTGCCCAGCCCATGAGTGAAATTCCCCCTCCAGCTCGCTGTTTGTCATCCAGAGTCCAGTCCATGGCTCCTTTATGTGCCTTGTCTCTGGCCTTTTCCAGGGCAACGGGCATGAGGAGGTAGTTGCATGTGCCTGGGATGGACAGACCTACATTATTGATCACAACCGCACCGTCGTCCGCTTCCAAGTGGATGAAAATATCCGTGCCTTCTGTGCAGGTGACTCCGCCCCCACAGCCCCTTTCTAACCACACTTAAGTTAGATAAGCGGGTTAGCTACGCCAGGGAAGTGTTTGCCTCTCAGTTCCCTTCCTGACATATGCCCTGATGTAAGTCTTCATTAACCAGTGAGTTCTTCACCTCTTTTATTTTGGGGGTGAGGTGTGGGTACTACGTTGCCAGCTTGGCGATTTTGAATAAGAAAAAAATAACAGACCCTAACATCTCCACCCCTGAATATTTCAAAGAGTGGAATGAGTTTGTTGTCTGTCTGGGATGTGTGAAGACATCAGGAAGTTCTTTTCCACCTGAGCATGCCAGGTCTCTGTGAAGAAAGTTCTAGAGCATTTTCATTAGTTCCCAATCAGGGGCCTTGGGAGGCAGCACTCACTCTTTGGGTGGCTGGGGGATGCATTTGGAAGGAGGAATTGCACCTAGGAGAAGCCTTACTTTTGCTCTGATCGTGTTTTGCTTGTCTCGCTCTTGGGTGAGCAAGGCCATCCCTCATCACTCCAGGGATGTCACTACGATGGGAAAATCACAAATAGCACCTTTTTGGATGCTGTTCTGCCTGGGTTTTGTTACTGTTGTTTTTCTGTATCTGAAGTGGGCCAGATCTTTTCCTGTCTTACCTGTTTTACTGAGTTCCTAACAGAGAAGAAAGAGAGCCTTTAATTTTTGTCCTGACATCAGTGGGAGGATGGGAAGTGCTGACTTGGAGGTCTGTGTCTCGCTGTCTGCCCCCCACCCCCGGCACTGAAACTTCCTGACCTTTGTCTCCCTGCCCACATCTCCCAGGCTTGTACGCCTGCAAAGAGGGCCACAACAGCCCCTGTCTCGTATATGTCACTTTCAACCAGAAGATCTATGTGTACTGGGAGGTGCAGCTGGAGCGGATGGAGTCTACCAATCTGATGAAACTGCTGGAGACCAAGCCGGAGTACCACAGCCTGCTGCAGGAGCTGGGCGTGGGTGAGTCCCAGGAAAGCCAGTGGCCATGGTGCCCAGGAGACCCACAGCCTCTTACCCATCCCTTCTTGGCTCACAGATCCTGACGACCTCCCTGTGGCTCGTGCCCTGCTTCACCAAACGCTCTACCATCCGGACCAGCCACCACAGTATGCTCCCTCAGGCCTCCAGGATCCCACCTAGCAGTATTTGCCTCACAGTTGGTGAAGGATTCTTCTGAACCCCCACCCTACCCCCTAAAGCTATCTGTGTTATTGGCAGGATAAGGAATATGCATTACAGAAGTGCAGGATTTCACTCTGGGCGTGAAAGATGGCAGCAGCCTTAGGGTGACCACAAACTATAGACCTTGCAGTCTTTTTGGTGAAAGAAGAGACAAGGTGACTCTCTGCCCATTTCCTTATGGATGTCGCCCATCACACCAGCAGGGTCATAGGACCCTGGCCTTGTTCCAAATCATCTGGGACATGTCCTACTTCCCACTCTGACTGTGTAGAAAACAGACTTGTTTGCATGGCCCCAAACCCATACATAAGGAAACCAGGTTTTAGGCCCAGGGGAGCAGTGGAGGTAAGGGCTCCATTCCATCTTAAGCTCTGTTTTTCATGGCACAATGACATTAGTCATTGTTTTTTGTTTGTTTTTTGAGATGGAGTCTCGCTCTGTCACCCAGGCCGGAGTGCAGTGGCGCATTCTTGGCTCACCACAACCTCTGCCTCCTGGGTTCGAGCAATTCTCCTGCCTCAGCCTCCCGAGTAGCTGGGACTACAGGCGTGCGGCCCCATGCCCAGCTAATATTTGTATTTAAGTAGAGGTGGGGTTTCACCGTGTTGGTCAGGCTGGTCTCAAACTCCTGGCCTCGTGATCCACCCGCCTCAGCCTCTCAAAGTGCTAGGATCACAGACGTGAGCCACCATGCCTGGCTGACATTAGTAATTATTAAAGGAATGGCAGACTTTTGTTTTGAGGGGTCTTTCAGCACATTTTACAGTCTGGCCTTGCCCATGCTCCTAGCAGCCCTGAGATGACTTTCCTCCATTTACTGAAGCATCTGGGGCAGTGCTTTCTCACATTGTCATATTCTTCAGGAATTAGTAAGCTTCAGAAGCCCTGCTCCCATTTTCCCACCCACCCATTCCCCGAATAAAACACCTTATTGTCTGTAAGACAATAGACATTTAAAATGTGATACAGGTTTATGGTCCAGACCACAATCAGAATTATATCTTGGGCCATTTATGTGCTGTCTGTTCTTGATTCTCTGTGCTCTAGATCGGTGTTTCTCAAACTGTGGATGCAGTCCTTTGGTGAATGATGGCCAGCATTGTTTAAATAGGTAGAATAGAATAAAGTCAAATAGAAAATAGCAGAATACATTGCTCACAGTGTAGGTAAGTACCATTTTGTTGCAGTCGTATGTGCATTTGTATACTGAGTACTGTGTAAACTCTATTCCTGCTGTGGTAAGCTGCGGTCAGAGGAGCTTGAAAACCATTGCTCTCAGCTGGGCGCGGTGGCTCACGCCTATAATCCCAGCACTTTGGGAGGCTGAGGCGGGTGGATCACAAGGTGAAGAGATGGAGACCATCCTGGTCAACAAGGTGAAACGCCGTCTCTACTAAATACAAAAATTAGCTGGGCATGGTGGTGCGCACCTATAGTCCCAGCTACTTGGGAGGCTGAGGCAGGAGAATTCCTTGAACCCAGGAGGTGGAGGTTGCGGTGAGCCGAGATCATGCCATTGCACTCCAGTCTGGGTAACAACAGCAAAACTCTGTCTCAAAAAAAAAAAAAAAGAAAGAAAACCATTTCTCTCAATTATGTTGACCCTAGTCAGATGGGTCAGCCTGAGTGATGGCCCACTTTTACATTTCGTTTCTGTAAGGGACAACGGGCAGAGTTATCATTCAGGTCTTGATAGGCAGAAAGGAGGACCACAGAAGATCATCGACATAGAGAAACAAGAGTTTATTCTGGTAGAGAAGCAGCTGAGCCGAGGGCTTGCCACTGGGCCTGGGGTCTGCATTTACAGAAGCAGCAGGAGCCAGACAAGGAAAGGCACAGAACAAGACCCAGGAAAGTGGACCTTGTGGAGCAAGGCAGTGAGGGAGAGGGAAGCTTTTAGGATTTTGAGACAAGGTTCTGTGGTAGACGTGGTAAGTGAGCCCCTCTCCTTTCCTTCTGAAGACAGGGCAGGCAGCTGAGAAAGGTCAAGCCAGGTGTCAGGGGCAGCTCCTTGCATCTCGGTTCTTCTGTAACTCAGTCTACCCCAGACGCAAGACTGTTTCAGCCCCAGGGTCCCAGTTCCGTGGTTCAGGTTAGCTATACCACTGTCTTTCTCCGCTCCTTCATTTTGTTTGTTTTTGGAGACAGGGTCTCTTTCACCCAGGCTGGAGTGCGGTGGAACGAACTTGGCTCACTACAACCCCCATCTCCCAGGTTCAAGCAACTCTTGTGCCTCAGCCTTCCAAGTAGCTGGGATTAGAGATGCCTACCACCACGCCTGGCTAATTTCTGTATTTTTTAGTAGACATGGGGTTTTGCCATATTACCGAGGCTGGTCTCAAACTCCTGACCTCAAATGATCTGCCCACTTCAGCCTCCCAAAGTGCTGGGATTATAGGTGTGAGCTATTGTGCCCAGCCTCTTTACCCCTAACCCATGATTTGAGAGACTCAAACCAGCCAGAAAGACTCTCAAGGGTCTGGCTTCTTAAGGTTTGGATTCTTCATAATGAATTCAAAAAGCCTCTGTCTCCTGACAGACTCCAAACTTAAAAAAAAAACTCTGTCTTTTTGCTTTGGCAAAGCCTGGCAGGGTTTTAGAAAGCCACTGATTCCAGGAAAAGGCAAGCTTAAGCTCAAGAGACCAGAGATGGGGATAGGGAGAAGGCCTAATGAGGTGGATAGTTCTGGAAATCAGAAGGAATACTGAATAGGTTAAGTCTGAGTGCTGACAACCTCACTATCCTGTCCACCTCGGAGCAGTTCTCTACAAGGCTTTTCCACACACACACCAAAAGTTCAGGGACTTGGTGGGTACGAAAAGCAGATGGAGGATAAATACTTAGCGTTAATAGCAGAAGTATGTCTAAGGTTTTGCACAGGGTAGTCAGACAATAACTGGCTTCAGGCATTTGTAGCCCCGGAAAAGTAACTAATAAAAGCTGTCAGCCTTATGAGATGGACCTTCCTGTACTAACTCCCTCCCCTTGTATTGAATTCTGTTTAATGTTTCTTCCCCCACTCAACTGTGAGCAGATGTGTACAGAATCCAAGAGGCAGACTACAGGAGGTCCGGGGACCCAGGGTGGTGAGGCATGGCAGTCTAGTTGTGGGAGATAATTTGTGGTGAGAGACTTGGTGGTGTGGGAAGATGAGTTGTGTTTGGGGTGAGATTGGGTAGTGGGCAAGGACAGCAGTCAGCAGAGACTTCGACCCAGGCCAAGCAGGCACCCTGTTTTCATTAGGTTTCCATCTGTGGTCCTGATTTGGCTTCGCTTTTCTTGGGAGGGAAATGAATCAGAATCCTGGCATCGGGGCCCCTCTAGTGAAAACTCTTCCTGGGGAATAGGATGGACAGCTGCCAAGAAGCAGAGAGGAATGTGGCCGGCTGGGGGAAATGGGACAGCAGGGGTCAGGGTGGTGATTCAAAGGGCAGACACCGTAGTCCCCAGCTACCTGGCTCCAAGAGCCCCCTTTCCCCACACACCTCTTCCCCTGAGTCAAGGTCTTTCCCTCTGGGGACTGACTGAGACAGCAGTCACTGGCCAGGTTCTTGGTACAAAGGTAGGAAGGGCAGCTCTGAGAACGGGGCTTTCAGTCGCAGCACTCTGTGCTCCAGGTCAATGCAGCACTGTGGGGTGTAGAGCAGTCATGCCAGGTCACCTCAGTCTGTCACCTGCCTCCCAGCCTTCTTTTACTCCCCCTCCCACTTCCCACAGCTTCCACCTGCCTTTTGCTCTTCTCCCATCCCCGTTTCCCTAGACTTCTGTTGGAGGGGGATGACCCGGTTCTCTTGATTTTTCCCTTGGTGGTAAGTAAGGAATCTCTAAGGAAATAAAGTGAGAATTGCCCATCTCTAAGTCACTCTCATCAGAACCAGGTCCAGGCTTCCACACTTGCACCTTCTACTACTTTTTCCCCAGTGCTTTGTTTGGATCAGGCCCCGAATGTGGGTGCCTTACCTTGAGAGAAAGCAGAGTCTGCAGGCCCAGGCAGAATTCAGGACTCTCAACATCTGCAGGAACCATTTGAAAACAAAAGAGGCTGAAGGTGCCCTGTGGTCACTGGTTCCCTCTTCTCAGCCCTTGCTCCTTCTCTGCCCACCCCATCCCCAGGTTCAAGGACGTTGACACAGAGATAAGGGATAGTCAGAACATCTCTGGGGACTCCTTTTGCCACAGGGGCTGAAAGTCTCTGCCTTTGGCCCACACTGAAGAGAAAGGTAAGAGGTGAGCACCAGGGCTGTTGCAGAAGGGGAGACTTACCCACCACCTGTGCCGAGCACACCACAGTCTCCTGCCCCACCTGTAGCTCCAGCTGCTCCACCTGGGTTGGGAGTCCAGAGGCCAGGTCCCCAGCTGAGGCTTTTAGGACTCTTTTCTCTAACCTGTGGTTGGGAAGCAAGGGTTATGGCTACCACAGCCCCCAGTGGGCTCCACCCCATTAATCAGCAGATGTCCCTCTCTGCTGTGGTTTCACCTCCAACCCCTGACCCCCCGTGGGATCTAAGTCCTTGTCTTCTCTGCCAGAATCTTCTAGCCACTCTTTTGTTAAATAACAGCTTTATTGAGATAAAATGTGCATCTATCGTCACTATCTAATTTGAGAAAATTTTCATCACCCCAAAAGGAAACCCTATCCCCCATTTGCTTGTTTGGGCCACACTCTTACCCCAGGCGACTGAGACAACCAGCAGAGATCTCATTGTGTTGGGTGCCTGTGTCCACGGCCACTCTAAGCAGCTGGTCCTGGCACTAAGAAAGAGGGATTGCGGTGGATCAGTGAGTGAGTCCCTAGGGGACTGGGTTGGGATTGGATCCTTCATTTTCCCAGCCCGTTGATGATTCCCTTTTAGAAATGAGTAGATAAAATTAACTGTCTTTAAAACTGGCTTTTATGAGACTCATACAATAGGGGCAAAACTCCCAGATAAATCAAAAAAGGAAGTGGGCCAGGTGGGGTGGCTCATGCCTGTAGTTCCAACACTTTGGAAGGCTGAGGCAAGAGGATCACTTGAAGCCAGGAGTTCAAGACCAGCCTAGGCAACATAGCAAGACCCTGTCTCTAAAAAAATGGGAAAAGAAAAAAGTAGAGTTATATGTGATGAGTTCATAAGTTTGGGGAAGATCTGCCAGAAATGGAGAAATGGTGATTTATTTGTTTAGAGGAATCCTTGGGAGTTTCGTGGCCTCCTGGTTTGAAAACTCCAGGTTAGGAATAGAGGAAGGATGAAAAGATTGGAATCCCCTGTTAGGAAACTCAGATGCAGTCACCAAGAAGTTCACCACTGGAAACACAGGAGGACAAGTTCACTTACTTTAGGAGACACACAGACGTTTTGATATACACTTGGATGTACACACGTCATTTTCTCATTCCAAGCATTCATTGAGTATCTACTATAAGATATGTTACTGGAAGGCACATTAATGAATGATGGTTTTTAGGTGTCTAAAGGAAGTAAAATATAAACTCTACTACATGGCAAAAAGTTCTAAGGTCTATAAAAGGATGTGAATGGCCTGACCCAGTGACTCACGCCTATAATCCAAGCCCTTTGGGAGACTAAGATGGAAGGATTGCTTGAGGCCAGGAGTTCTAGACCAGCTTGGCCAACGTGGTGAAACCCCCATCTCTACTAAAAATACAAAAAAAAAAAAATTCAGCCAGGCGTGGTAGCACACACTTGTAATTCAGCTACTCAGAAGGCTGAGGTGGGAGGATAGCTTGAGTCCATGAGGTTGAGGCTGCAATGAGCTGTGATCGCGCCACTGTACTCCAGCCTGGGTGACAGACAGACCCTGTCTCTAAATAAAAGGAGCCGGGTGCAGTAGGTCACATCTATAATCCCAACACTTTGGGAGGCCGAGGCAGGTGGATCATGAGGTCAAGAATTTGAGACCATCCTGGCCAACATGGTGAAACCCCATCTCTACTAATAATATAAAATTTAGCAGGGCATGGTGGCATGCACCTGTAGTCCCAGCTACTTGAGAGGCTAAGGCAGGAGAATCACTTGAACCCAGGAGGTGGAGGTTGCAGTGACCCAAGATCGTGCCACTGCACTCCAGCCTGAGCAACAGAACGAGACTCCGTCTTAAAAAATATGAAAAAGGATGTGAGTAGCATGCATGCCTTAGAGGTTGGGAGGGAGGAAAGGCTGTTTCCTACTGGGGAAATCAGAAAGGGTTTCGAGGAGGTAACATCTGAACTGGGATTTGAAAGCTTGCAGAATGTAGACCCAGAATGGTTGGAGAGCAAGAAGAGCAATCCAGGGAGAAGCAGCACAGAACAAAGACGGTGAGCGGGAATTTATTGGGAATGTCTCAGTAGTCGCTGAGTGGTTAAATGATGATCAAAGATGATCGAGCTTCTTAAGAACTAGGACCGCAGGCTCAGTGCCTTACACATGAGCTTTTTCCAGAATTACATCCATGCACACACACCATTCATCTGTGTAGAGCACACTGAGGAGTACTTACATTTGAGTACTGTATTTTGACCAAGGAAAGGGGGTAGAGTAATGGTGGTGACAGATGGAATTGCACAGAGGGAAGATGGGTTGAGGCAAGGAGGAAAGAGGTAGAGGATTGGTCACATGGTTAGGTCCAGGCTAGGGAAAGAGGTGCCCTTTCTCCCTCCCTCCCCCTCCCATCAGGGCAGAAAGGAGAGCAGGTGAAGTGAGCGGCAGGCAGAGTTAATGAAAGTGTGTCCCTGGGAGGCCTCTCACCTTGCAGTTGACCAGAAGAGCTGGACTGTCTGTCTTGCTCGTCTTCTTCCTGCTCTCTTGGCCATGAATCGAGGCCTGCACCCAGGGAGACTCCCCCTGAAGCCGATTCGGGTTTCCCTCCACCAGGCGTCTTTGGATCACACTGTGTGGCTGCTGGCTCCATCACAAAACATGAAGGTAGGCTGTTCAGTTACCCCACTTAGATATCCCAGGCTCCCCCAACCCCACCCTAGACCTGAGCTTTACCCTAGGAGCTTACCCTAGGGTCCCAGCAGTCAGGTAACGAGCTCAGAGTAAGCCCCAGTATCAAATCATGCCATTTTTCTGGGACACCAGTAGATTACTTGGCAGTGAAGAACTGGGAAGAGGAGAATGGTCTCTTAAGTTGAACTGACTTTTGGCCAAAGGGACAGTTCAGGAACTAGTATGCTTAGGGGAAATTTGTCTCAAATTCACATTTTTTTTAACCAGGAGTTTTTTGTTTTTTGTTTTTCCTTCCCTTCTGATCTTATCCTTCAATGGGCTGCAGATCCCAGGGTTGGTGGTGTGATGAAAAGAAGTAAGAAATTGAAGAACTAGGCCGGGCGCAGTGGCTCACGCCTGCAATCCCAGTACTTTGGGAGGCCGAGGTGGGTGGATCACTTGAGGTCAGGAGTTCGAGACCAGCCTGGCCAACATGGTGAAACCCCTTTTCTACTAAAAATACAGAAATTAGCTGGGCATGGTGGTGCGTGCCTGTAGTCCACACTACTTGGGAGGCTGAAGTGAGATGATCACTTGAACCTGGAAGGCAGAGGTTGCCGTGAGCCAAGATCACACCACTACACTCCAGTCTGGGTGACAGAGCAAGACTCTGTCTCAAAAAAAAAAAAAAAAAAAAAATTCTTAAGAACTGATGCTGGGAGTCATCTTTGACCTGTCCCTCATCTGCAACTACTCCTGTTCCATCTAATCACTTCCCAAATTCTGCAAGTTTTGTCTTTTGTCTAGAATCAATCTGTTGACCTGTCCCTCATCTGCAACTACTCCTGTTCCATCTAATCACTTCCCAAATTCTGCAAGTTTTGCCTTTTGTCTAGAATCAATCTGCCCCTCCTTTCTTTCTCTCTTCTTTCTTTTCTTTTGTCTTCTTTTCTTTCAAGGCGGGATCTTGCTGTGCTGCCCAGAGTGGGCTCTAATTCCTTGGCTCAAGGCATTCTCCAGCCTCAGCCTCCTGAGCAGCTGGGACCACAGGTGTATACTACACCACCTGGCTCCCATCCTTCCTTTCTGTTACTGCCTGCATTCCAGACTCGCCACAGCTCTCTTGGATGCCTGGAACACCTTCCTAAGTTCATAAGAATCTGCCTCCAGTTCTGTTGCCTTTCAGATACATCTGCTCGGAGCTTCAGACTGGAAGCAAGCTAAAAACCATGCTACTCTAAACTGCGGTCTTTGGATCAGCAGCTTGAACATGATTTCGAAGTTTCTTTGAAATGTGAACTCTCATACCTACTGAATCAGATGTTTCACTGTGACAAGATCCCCAGGTGATTCATGTGCAGGTTAAAGTTTGAGAAGCACCGAAGTAAAACATAAAACCAACCATGTACTCCTTTTTTTTTTTTTGAGATGGGGTCTTGCTTTGTCACCCAGGCTGGAGTACAGTGGCACAATCTCAGCTGACTGCAACCTCTGCCTCCTGGGTTCAAGCAATTCTCCTGCCTCAGCCTCCCGAGTAACTAGGATTACAGGCGCCTGCCACCACACCCAGCTAATTTTTGTATTTTTAGTAGAGACAGGGTTTCACCATGTTGGTCAGACTGGTCTTGAACTCCTGATCTCAGGTGATCCACCCGCCTCAGCCTCCCAAAGTTTTGGGTTACAGGTGTGAGCCATCGCGCCTGGCATACTCCCTTGTTTAAAATGCATCAAAGACCTCCTCTACCGCCCTCCTCCCCCCCGCCCCACAACCCTACCCTGCATTGCTTACATGCTAGAGCCCAAGCTTTTGAAGGGGAGGCACAGCCCAGAGTTTGTATCTTAGGGATTCCGCGTACATCCTATAATTACTGCAGGGGGTACCTCCTCCAGGATACCCTGTCTGAGTCTTCATGCTCCTCTCTTCATATACCCCAGGCTGGGGTCCCTTGTCTCAGCTCCCTTTGCCATGCTTACAAATGTTATGTATGGATCTTACTCCCCCATTAGCCTGGAGAGTCCTTGAGTATCTCACTCATCTCCCAGGGCATGGCTCAGCATCTAGTAGGCACTCAATAAATGGTTACTGCAGACTGATTCTTCCCCTAGGCTCTACGCACCCCTCCACCTGCCCTCTCTCCTTGGGAGCCTGGGATTGTTTTTCTTCCCTTAGATTAATGAGGCCCTTGGGGTTGCTCCTGGCAGCAAAACACAGCAGGAGACCCAGCGCTGGGAAAAGTGCAGCGAGTTCTGGGCCTGGCTGGAGAGACTGGCTCTGCATTTCCCATCTTCCACCTTCCCACGATGGACACAGGCTTCAGACCTCTCCCACTGTTGTGCAGTTGGCTCCACAGCCATCCCAGGGAGGGAGACAATAGGGTCTCCCCTACCTGTTGTGCCTTCCCTCCCAAAGCCACAGGCGTAACTGCTAGATATCAGCTGGGGAGATCCTAGGCAGAGGGCAGAGGTGAAAAGCCCAGGGGTTTCTCATCAGAAGGCAGGACCTGCCACGCTGGGATGGCAATGTCTATAGAGCACATTCTCCTGGGCCAAAGAGATGTAGGTTGTTCCTCAGTAGGTTCTAGCCATTGAGAGCCAAAGAACTCGCTTCCCAGCTCCATCCCTGTTTTTCAGCTGTGCTTGCTGCCACTGCAAGGAGGAATCAGCCCCTGGCAGTTCCCTGAATTGAAGTCTCAGTGCAATGTTTTTTCCTCATTGGGAGCTAGGGAGTGGCCAGGCCTCTGGGCTGGGGTCCTGCTGGGGGCAACCCAGGCTGAGAGGAGTCTGGAAAGGTAGAGCTAGGTCAGGAAACGTAATGAGGCCTTGCATTGGCCTTCTTGGCCTTCAGGTTCCTGGGGAGAAGCAGCTGATGGAGTGCAGGCCTACAGACATGCTTCCAACATCTCAGGCAGGCCTGGTTGAGTACCTCTTCTCAGACCAGGAGAGGGGTCGGAACCAACTGCTCTGAAGCCTTTCTACAAAGGACTTCCTCTCTTCCATGGGTCAGAGGCCAGGTGTATTTATCAGACTAAATGCGATAGTAGCTGGGGGAATAGTAACAGCATTGAGGTAATGCCTGCTATTAGGCACCGTTCTAAGCACTTTATATATATTAGCTCTAACAACTCTCCCAACAGTCCTATGAGGGAGATACTATTAATTTTATTCTCACTTAACAGATGTAGAAACTGAGGCACAGAGACGTAAAGTCAATTGCCCAAGGTAGTAAGTGGCAGAGCCAGGATCTGATCCCAAGCCAAGTGGCTCCGCAGCCCCGCTGGTCAGCGCTGCCTCTCAGAGGGGAATGCCTGAATCTGCAATTGTCACCCGCCCACTCACCTGCTCAGTTACTCCCCTGCCCCACTCTGAGGCCAAAGCTGCTGCAGACAGATGGGAGGAGAGGAGCCTGGGAGGTCCATTCCACTTAGGAGTGGGGGAGCAGCGCTTGAGGCGGCCAGGGGCCTGGCAAGAGCCATGCAAAACCCTGATGCCCTGGGAAGGATGGAGGACCCTCCCCCCCGCCCCGCCAATGCTTTGATTCTGAAGAAAAAGGGCAAATGAATGGACAGACCTGGTAGAGGAAATCTGTGGTTCGGGAGGAGCAGGAAGTCACAACCCTAAACTGGCCAGTCCTCCAGGTCCCCCCCGGTTTTCAGTGAACACTCTGGAGGGTTCCTGTGTTCCCCTAAGTCCCCACTCCCAGACAGCCTAGCTCCTCACCACCCTCAAGTTGGGGAAGCCGAGCAATGAGAGTAGGACCCCTCAGAGTCACTGAACCATGAGAACGTTCCCAGTGAAGAGCCTTGAGTTGGCAGGATGACCTCTCCCCGTCACGGCAAGGGAGGGAGACCTGAACGCTGAGGGTCTGCGCTTTATGTCCTGCCACTCCCGCTCAGGATCTGGGAAGTGGAAGGAAAGGGCCAGGGGACGCTGGTGGGGGAGGGGATGCCTCACCAAGTCCTTGGAGGTGCCCAGCCTCTTCAGGGAGTCCAGTGGGAGCAGGTCGGCTGAGTCCTTGTGCAGGAACTGAGTGGCCTGTTTGAGTCGGCGCTGCTGGCTCAGGTGGGCTCGGTCCCGAAACTGTGCCTCCTGCCCCCTGGTCCTGGCTTCTCCCTCATCTCTCCTGGCCTCCTGCTTGGTGCTCATGGCCCCTGCCGGAGGAGCGGGCCTGGGGCTGCTCAGGGGGGAGCCTCACCCGAGTCCTCTCTGCTTCTTCCTGCCTGCCTCTGTCCAGAGCCAGCAGCTCTCCTCCCAACAGGAGGGTCTCCAAGGGAGGGAAAGGGGGGAGAAATAACGTGCAGGAGCGTCCGCGTCAGTCTTTAATTTCCCGAGATTGCTGTAGAGGGAGTGAGACTCCGGCTGGAAAAACCCAGTCCTAGAAGAGAGGGAGGGTTGGCAGGGCCCACAGCTGGCAGGCTTGGCCACGTCCCTAATGCTGGGGTCCTGGTCAGAGCAGGCGGTGGATGGGGCGCGCGCGCGCGCGTGTGTGTGTGTGTGTGTGTGTGTGTGTGTGTGAGAGACAGTGCTGTAAACTGTCAGGGTGCCAGTGCCAGGTGGTTTGCAAGGAACTGCCTGTCGCTGTGTGTGGGGGCGGCAGCCGGAGTGTACCTCCCTACGTGTGTGGCCCCAGTCCTCTGCATCCCTCCCAGGCTCCCCAGGGCTGCCCAGCTGTTTCTTCTGCCTGACCTCTCTGTAACCCAGGGCTGGCATGCAGGCCAGTAACTGGATTCCGATCAGAGAGAGGCAGCGTGAGAGTGTCCTTCCCTCCTTTCATCCCCCTAGGTTTACCTTGCAGGGTCTCTTCCTCCTGCCTAACAGATGTCAGAGTCTAGCAAATTTTCTCTGGATTCTGGGTTCCAGGGGATGGCGGGAACAGCTCTGAAACATCCCATGAGTAGAAATTGTCCGCCGGTATCTCAGTCTCCTTTATATGACTCTCCTCAAGTCCTGGCTCTTTAAAAAATGTTATATTTTGACCTGGCATAGTGACTCATGCCTGTAATCCCAGCACTTTGGGAGGCCAAAGCCGGTGGATCATGAGGTCAGGAGATTGAGACCATCCTGGCCAACATGGTGAAACCCTGTCTCTACTAAAAAATACAAAAGTTTGCTGGGCGTGGTGGTGCACGCTTGTAGTCCCAGCTACTTGGGAGGCTGAAGGTGGGAGAATTGCTTGAACCCGGGAGGCGGAGGTTGCAGTGAGCCGAGATCACGCCACTGCACTCCAGCCTGGTGCCTGGCAATAGAGCGAGACTCTGTCTCAAAAAAAAAAGTTATATTTCAAACATACAGAAGTTATAAAGAGTAAGATAACCAGTACTCTTTACTCATCACCAGTTTAAAAAATCAGCTGTTGAAGCTCTCTGTGCACTTGCACTTCTGCCTGCTGCGATTGGTGTTTCCCATGCTCATACTTCCTTATATTCTTTATGCAAATACTTACATATGCATTCTAAGCAATATATCATTGGTTTTGCCCTACTCATTGTCTTTATTCTTCTGCAGTCTGCTTTTTCCCCCCACTCCCGCCACCCCTCTGTAATCTGCTCTTTTTTGCTCAGTATTTGTTAGTGAGGTTCATCCGTGCTATATGCCTAACTCTTTCATTGACTTTACCTGCTGTGTAGCATAGTATTCCACTATATGCTTGTATCACATTGAGGAAATGTAAGTTACTTTTCATTTTTAGGCCTAACAAACAATGCTGCTATGAATTTTTTTGCACACATCTCCTGGGGCACCTATGTAGGCATTTCTCTAGAGTATACACACCTAAGAGTGGAATTGCTGGGACACCCCCATATACAGCTTTGCCTTTTTGGCATATTGCCAGAGTGTTTGTACCAGTGCACTCTCAGACAACTTCCATGGGGGCTCCTAAGTTTCCACAACCTCTCCAGCACTTGCTATCAGACTTTTTCTAGCCCTGGCTTATCAGCAGAATTTTCTCTCCAGCCTTTCCTCTTCACCATCAGAGAAATGCATTGGCCAAGCACCTGTTTCCCTGTATTGGACACTCACAGGATGATTACCCATCCTGAGCCCTGAGCCCTATGGGTGCAGTCTGACCCAGACAGTTCCAAGGCATAGGCACATTTGGACAAACCAGATGTTCACTGAGCTTCTAGGAACCAAGCCTCTGAGATAATTTCACAACCACTGCAATTATATGAAGAAATATTTTATTCTAATCCCCATTTCAAGGTAAGAAAAGTAAGCGTTATGGGTTGAATTATTTCCTTCACCCCCCCCGCAAATGTATGTTAACACCCTAACCCCTAGTACCTCAGAATTCGACCTCATTTGGAGATAGGATCTTTACAGATACAGTGAAGTTAGGAGGAGGACATTGGGATGAGCCTAATCCTATGTGACTGTGTTCTTTTTTTTTTTTTTTGAGACAGAGTTTCACTCTTGTTACCCAGGCTGGAGTGCAATGGCGCGATCTCTGCTCACCACAACCTCCACCTCCTGGGTTCAGGCAATTCTCCTGCCTCAGCCTCCTGAGTAGCTGGGATTACAGGCACGCGCCACCATGCCCAGCTAAATTTTTTTTTGTATTTTTAGTAGAGATGGGATTTCACCATGTTGACCAGGATGGTCTCGATCTCTTGACCTCGTGATCCACCTGCCTCAACCTCCCAAAGTGTTGGGATTACAGGCGTGAGCCACCATGCCTGGCCCTGTGTTCTTATTAAAACGAGGAAGTTGGCTGGGCAGGGTGGCTCACGTCTGTAATCCCAGCACTTTGGAAGGCCGAGATGGGCGGAGATCAAGACCATCCTAGCTAACACAGTGAAGCCCCATCCCTAATAAAACTACAAAAAATTAACCGAGAGTGGTGGCACATGCCTGTGGTCCCAGCTTCTCAGGAGGCTGAGGCAAGAGAATCGCTTGGACCTGGGAGGTGGAGGTTGCAGTAAGCTGAGATTGCACCACTGCACTCCAGCCTGGGTGACAGAGCAAGACTTCGTCTCCAAAAAAAAAAAAAAAAACAATGGCTGGGGGTGGTGGCTCATGCTTATAATCCCAGCACTTTGGGAGGCCAAGGCAGATGGATCACCTGAGGTGAGGAGTTCAGGACCAGACTGACCAACATGGTGAAACCCTGTCTCTACTAAAAACACAAAAAAATTAGCTGGGCATGGTAGCACATGTCTGTAATCCCAGCTACTCGGGAGGCTGAAGCAGGAGAATGGCTTGAAACCAGGAAGGGAAGGTTGTAGTGAGCCGAGATGGGTCTATTGCCCTCCAGCCTGGGCAACAAGAGTGGAAATCTGTCTCAAAAACAAAACAAAAAATTTAAAAATTAGCCAGGTGTGGTGGCATGTACCTATAGACTCAGCTACTGAGGAGGCTGAGGTGGGAGGATCACTTGAGCCCAGGAATTTGAGACTGCAGTGAGCTACGATGGCACCACTGCAATCCAACCTGGGTGACAGAGTGACACTGTTTCTAAAAGAAAAAAGTTCTTAGAAAATATGCCCAAGATTCAGTTATCATATGGCAGAGCAGGTCGTCAAACCCTTGTGTTCTATCTCCCAAGTTCTGTTCAGTTGACACTGTGCCTAAGGAGAATAGTGACAGAGACGATAGACATGGAAAGAAAACCAAACTAACAGGTTGTCATTGCTCAGGGTTCGCCCCACCCAGAGCCCGGCTTTGTTTCGACTTAGCTTTAGCGGAACTTTCCGGCTCCCTCCCATGTCGTGACATACCATACGGTGATTGCTTGGGATAGAGGTCAAAGAGGATCCTCTTGACTTATTTTGCTGAGTTCCTATAGTTGTTTCAACAGGATTAACTGTATAATGTGTAACTGAGAGATTATCGAGTGACACATAGCGTGATGCTGGGCAGGCCTCAAGCTGAAAAGCATCTCCTCCAACTCGCTTTATTCTTGAATGAACCAAAGCAGTTCATTCCTTTGATTTGAAAATTCTAGGGCCGGGCGCGGTGGCTCACGCCTGCAATCCCAGCACTTTGGGAGGCTGAGGTGGGTGGATCACGAGGTCAAGAGATCGAGACCATCCTGGTCAACATGGTGAAACCACATCTCTACTAAAAATACGAAAAAATTAGCTGGGCGCGGTGGCGCGTGCCTGTAATCCCAGCTACTCAGGAGGCTGAGGCAGGAGAATTGCCTGAACCCAGGAGGCTGAGGTTGCAGTGAGCCGAGATTGCGCCATTGCACTCCAGCCTTGGTAACGAGCGAAACTCCGTCTCAAAAAAAAAGAAAGAAAAATTCTTTAGCATCTTCAAGAGTCCTTTACTAATGCCTCCTTTGGGGGAGTCATGCTAAATTATCAACTCACAAGGATGAGATGGCTCTAGGGAGCCAGGCTGCCGACATGGATGGGTCCCAGGCTCTTAGGTGAGCTCAGGTCTGTACAGTGCAACCCAGGGAAAAATAAATGTGCCTGGGGCAGAGAATGGAGACTTTGAGGTTTGGAGTTTGAAGAGGGTTGGGAGACATCAGCTTCTCTTTTCCAGTTGGTCTGATAAGGCCTTTGTTGCCTGGTCCCGGGAACCACTTGTGCTCAGAAAATGCCATTCTCTGGAATGTAGCTGTGGAGTAGGAAGAGAGTTGGCCCCTATGTTCTGTGACCCAAGCAAGTACTGTCTCACTACTATCTTGGGGCAGACTCAGCAGTAAGGAGAATCTCTCTTGCCTTTTTGTGTTTCTTGTTTTCTTCCTTTGTAAATACAAGGCACGGTCTTTGTCCTTCCCCCAGATTGCCAGGAGAATGGGGTATATTGTTCTGGTGATACAGAGCTCTGAGATCTTTCTTCAGGACTGTGGAGACCCCTTTGCTATGATGATTCAGAATGTTGTGAGGGTAGCTGAGTTGTCTGGCCTTGCCCATAACACCTCAGTTTCCTCCCCTCATCATTTTTTGACCTAACAGAGAATTTAAAATAGTTTTTTTTTGGCTGGGCGCAGTGGCTTATGCCTGTAAT